AAACAACAACAACAAACGAAAACTGCTGACATGCGCAGTAAAACCCTGTCAGTCACACATCATTTGCAGGTATCAGGTATCATGTTGATGACAAGAGCCAATTATGCCAAGAATGATTATGCTGTACAACTACACTTCAGTTCCAACTGGGGAAAGCTACATCTGGTGTTTCATAATACATGAAAGTCAGTAGAATATTCATAATTAAGTCAAATCTGACTGCTATGCTGTTTTAGTAGACAATGATTTATAACTAGCAAAGGACACAGGGCTGCAAGAGTATACACTTTAATAATAAACAATATCAGGCTTTATAAATGATGGCAAACTCTACCAACAGAAATTATAAGTAGTACTGCACCTCAACCATGTTCAAATTCAGCATCTGAATAACAGTTTAAAGCATGACAATGTTAACGGGACACGAAACTACAAAGAAGTTATATTCTCAAAAGAGATTCAAGGTTTTGCACAGTTAAAACATGTGTGCACTGCAAAGGGGTCAAACTGATGTTGAGATAATGATTGGGGAAACCTATAACAGCACCAATAGCTGGCTCTTCTGAGAGAGGCTGGGACTGCTTTGTAGGAGCCACTTCATCCTTGAAGGCAGTTTGTTTGAAATGCTCTCAGACAGAGCTCTTTCGAGGAGGAGCATGAGGGAGGAGAGAATCAAAACCATTTCTGGCTTTAAGATCCTGCTCATAATTAAGTATAAGATGTGTCTTTGTCTCTTCACTACACAGTAAGTGTGGAAAGCAATGTACTTTTTATATTGTGGGACATAAGATAAATGCACACAAAACGGAAAACTGCACATCCTGCCCTATAGCTATTTCACAATATATAAATAAGAGTTGATCTCCATAGAAGCAGCTGGTTGAATAGGAACTTAATCTTTTACCACAAAAAGGAAAAGGCTAGGGCTGCTCAATTAATTGTATTTTAAATCGCAATTACGATTATGGCTTGCAACGATTACGAAAACAACGTAATCGAAATAAAACGATATTTATTTATTTGTATTGGTTTTTCAGTTGAGTTATACTTAAAGTTCAGTGTAATCAACTGTTGAAAACATACTGTTCACATTTTTTTTCTCCAATAAATGGATGTTTTCAAAGTAAATGGATAATCGTTTTTAATAATCGTGATATCAATTATTGACCCAAATAATCGAGATTATGATTTTTGCCATAATCGAGCAGCCCTAGAAAAGGCCCATCTACAGTGGAGCAAAAAAGTATTTAGTCAGCCACCAATTGTGCAAGTTCTCCCACTTAAAAAGATGAGGCCTGTAATTTTCATCCTAGGTACACTTCAACTATGAGAGACAGAATGGGGGAAAGAATCCAGGAAATCACATGGTAGGATTTTTAATGAATTAATTGGTAAATTCCTCGGTAAAATAAGTATTTGGTCACCTACAAACAAACAAGATTTCTGGCTCTCACAGACCTGTAACTTCTTCTTTAAGAGCCTCCTCTGTCCTCCACTCGTTAACTGTATTAATGGCACCTGTTTGAACTCGTTATCAGTATAAAAGACACCTGTCCACAACCTCAAACAGTCACACTCCAAACTCCACTATGGCCAAGACCAAAGAGCTGTCAAAGGCCAGAAACTAAATTGTAGACCTGCACCAGGCTGGGAAGACTGAATCTGCAATAGGTGCAGCTTGGTGTGAAGAAATCAACTGTGGGAGCAATTATTAGAAAATGGAAGACATACAAGACCACTGATAATCTCCCTCGATCTGGGGCTCCACGCAAGATCTCACCCCGTGGGGTCAAAATGATCACAAGAACGGTGAGCAAAAATCCCAGAACCACACGGGGGACCTAGTCAATGACCTGCAGAGAGCTGGGACCAAATTAACCAAGGCTACCATCAGTAACACACTACGCCGCCAGGGACTCAAATCCTGCAGTGCCAGACGTGTCCCCCTGCTTAAGCCAGTACATGTCCAGGCCCGTCTGAAGTTTGCTAGAGAGCATTTAGATGATCCAGAAGAGGATTGGGAGAATGTCATATGGTCAGATGAAACCAAAATAGAAGTTTTTGGTAAAAACTCAACTAGACGTGTTTGGAGGAGAAAGAATGCTGAGTTGCATCCAAAGAACACCATACCTACTGTGAAACATGGGGGTGGAAACATCATGCTTTGGGGCTGTTTTTCTGCAAAGGGACCAGGACGACTGATACGTGTAAAGGAAAGAATGAATGGGGCCATGTATCGTGAGATTTTGAGTGACAACCTCCTTCCATCAGCAAGGGCATTGAAGATGAAACGTGGCTGGGTCTTTCAGCATGACAATGATCCCAAACACACCGCCCGGGCAACGAAGGAGTGGCTTCGTAAGAAGCATTTCAAGGTCCTGGAGTGGCCTAGCCAGTCTCCAGATCTCAACCCCATAGAAAATCTTTGGAGGGAGTTGAAAGTCCGACAGCCCCAAAACATCACTGCTCTAGAGGAGATCTGCATGGAGGAATGGGCCAAAATACCAGCAACAGTGTGTGAAAACCTTGTGAAGACTTACAGAAAACGTTTGACCTCTGTCATTGCCAACAAAGGGTATATAACAAAGTATTGAGATGAACTTTTGTTATTAATACTTATTTTCCACCATCATTTGCAAATACATTCTTTAAAAATCAGACAATGTGATTTCCTGGATTCTTTCCCCCCATTCTGTCTCTCATAGTTGAAGTGTACCTAGGATGAAAATTACAGGCCTCTCTCATCTTTTTAAGTGGGAGAACTTGCACAATTGGTGGCTGACTAAATACTTTTTTGCCCCACTGTATATTTCTCAGCAGCTGGTGAAGGTTATATAGAGCCAGGGAGAATGAATCAATGAATTACATGTCAGGCCCCCAATGAGCTGATTCTTTATAGCTCAGCATCTTATGACGATAAAACATTTGGGAGGGACTGAACTGTCGTAGGTAAATATTTGAAAAGTAAATATAAAGCACTTCCTAATATTTGATGTCTCAAATACAACTGAAGAGACAATGATCCATTTGTATTCTAGGGAATGGGCTTGAGGCATTCATTCAGGATACAAAAGTGAATGTATAATTAGTTTGCATAAGGATAAGCTAAAAGCGCCAGCACTGCATGTCTATGTACATAGCCAACAAAATGAAGTATGGATTATACACTTAGTGCAAAATCAGCAAAACACAGAAAAAAAAACAGACAAAACACAAACCAGACGTATGTCAAAATGTACTACTTCTCCATTATATGTCTAGCATACTGAGTTAATGCTAAGGATTTAGCAAAGAGAGCCTGCGAGAAGGAAAACCACAATCTCAGGATTCAGATTCCTCAGGGTCATCTTGTCAGACACACTGACGTATCATTATATGAGCAGCAACAAAAACAAGGCTCTTTATGTCTGCCTTCAAGAATATCTGTGCTTTTTGGCAATAGTACGCTGAGGTGGTGGACACACAGGGAGGGAGCCAGCTCAACAGTTTATATTATGCTGACTGTAATTGGACACTGAAGTACGGAGAGGCTTAATCTTATCTTTTAGGGCGTGCCATAGCAAATTAGGACTCTTGTATAGGATGCAATATTTTAATATAAGTGGGGAAGTTAATGCCATTAGGAGTCGGGTAGGATTAGGGGACTCGCTGCTAGTCTGAACCAGACATCCCTCTGGGTCTGAACCTGCCGCACACACAGCAGGGGAGACATGTGGTAATTGGTGTTCATAAATACAGGCATTCTAACTTTGGATTCAGCAAAGAGCAAGCCCAAGCATTTTGGATCGTTAAAAACAACCAATATGAAGTACAATTAAAACATATATATAATGAAAGTGAGAAAAATAAGTTGTCTGGATGGTTTCTTTTTCATATAAAATAAGACAAAACGTGTTAAATATGATTTCAACAAAGAACAGGACTTCATATTTGGTCACTGTGAAGATACAAGCCAGTTTAGGAACCAGAAACTGACCATCCTATCCTATATAAGAAAAAAGGAGGTTTCTGTAAAGATTAAATTATTGGTTTCACCTGAGAACCCAGGTAGAAATTTGCTATTGTTGGGGCCCCATGTAGCCTCTGTTTAGTTTGCATATGCCTGAGCCTAGTTCTGGTTTAGTGCACACTCAATAACACCCAACATTCAAAACACAGCCCCAAAAACAAGTTTTCACTATAGTAACACTAACTTAGTAAAGCCACCGTCTGTTAAATATCACATGTAATGTTAATCAATATATTGACTAATCTTGGGTTTCTGGGATAAATGTTTTTAAAATGTTATTCCATTTTGGTTTGTTTGCACCAGCACAAACCACCACATGTACTTTATATACTTTTGATTGTATGTGAATATTGTGACCTTGTGAAATAATTGTCATGTATTACTTTACGAGTAGCCTAAACAGTGATGACACATAAGTAAGACGATCATAATACTCGGCTATTTAAAAGTGGGCTACACCCAAATTCACTTGACTGGGCTGAAATATATTTCACTGGAATATTATCACTTCCAAGATATGAGTAGACGGGGGCCAACTTGAATGAAACTGATAATATGTTGTAAGACTTAAGGCTTGACACCATGAATGCATTTGTATTGTATTTTCAACCCCAAGTCACTACAGCCTGCGTTTATGAAGACAGCTCAGGTGCACGGTGCACCTCCATGAACACCATAAAACACACATTAACCTGAGTTAATTTTCTCAAAGCAGAGATAAAAATAGTTCCCCATCAAGTTTACAGAAGAAACGTTTGACCACGCTTTGTTTCCACAACACAAGCACATGCATATATTCAGCCAAACAACCCGCGCGCACACTTGTCCTGAATCCAACCGTAAAGTGGTGGAAAGTGTTGACGCAGTATTTTAATCCTACGCTTCTCAATAAAGCGAAAACTGATTCTACATTAATTAAACTTGACCACACAATTACTATTTGAATTGAAATGTCTATAAAGAAGCACAGTCTGGAGTTAGCGTTACTTACCACCGATGTGTTTCAGTAGTAATTTCCACGTGCGGCGGGTCCCCGAGTCCTTCGGTTAATTTCTCCAGCTGCTGTCACAGTTTACTCACTTTCCGCAGCCTTGTTTTTCCCAGTCTCCTCACACTACACGGAAGCCTTTCACTTTTAACATCGCGTCGACTTTACTTCTGCGACAGTTGTTGTTGTGTAAGCGGCGGGAGGAGAGTTTGTTTCCTTGCTGCTGTTTCTGCGCAGAGAACGTCTGTCTGTCTGACTGACTGCGGCTGTGTGTGTGTGGGAAACCAGTAGCAGGTTCCCAGACACACACACTCCCTCCCCGCCAATCACGTACAGTGACACACCACCACGTATAGGCATTTCACATCTGCATGTATAAGGAGTCTCTTTGAAGTGCCAAAGACCCAAGCCAGTTGAAATGGAGTATTTTAAATGGATGTTTATGGGTTAAAGTTAAGTTCTAAAGCATATTTAGAGAAACTTTTCATGTGACATGTTACTAGTAGCATGGTTGTTAGCCTGAATATGTTTACAAAAACACCATGCATTCTACCGTCAGTACAAGGTGCATCATAAGAATAGGAGTTGAAAAATGATGTTTGCTAACTCGTTTTTATGGGTATATTATGTGTTAAGGTGTGTATACACTACTGTATTTGACTCCAACCTTTAATATCTCTGATTACAGTGGCTAACCCTACACAATAACTCATGAACATGTTCAGCAACTTTCAAAGACTCATATCAGAGGCATGTTAAAGCCATGAAGGGGATATTAGAGAAAAGGACATTTGTGAAGCATAACAATAGCCTATGTTTTTTATTAAAATGTTTTTATATACCTAGGCCTATTGGGTCCTTCTTGGGCTCACAATATAAAAACCTAAGAAACATAACTATTTCAATACCTTGGTTGTACAGTAGACTAGTGGTTTTTTTTTTACATATATATATTTTTTTACTTTAAGTTAGTAGCTATTATAGGCATAACAAGACAGAAATGTATAATTCTTTTTTTAATAGAAATGTTTCTTCTGCGCATAAAGTGTCCGAACCAGGCTTTTCTGGATAAACGCATTTTTAAAACATAGTCATTGTCCATGCCGGTTTCAGTTGGATTATTTGTCACAGTTGGTCCGATCAGATCGGTCTCCTCCATTTTGTAGATTATTTACGACTTTTGAATCCACATATACACATCGGCAAAATCCGGCTTACTTTGAGCATGTGTTTTAAACAGTTTAATCCCCTTGTGAATTGTTTCCACTTGCGCCGTCCTTTAATTTCTTCAGCGGGAATCCAAATGAATTCATCCTGAGTCCAATAACCATCAAAGTCACTCCAACAGTGCTCCTTAATTACGCTTTAATCCTCCTTTAACAAAATACTCCACATTCATCCAGTTTGTGACAGTAGTTGTAGCATTTTTGAGACTTTTAAACTTGAATTACCGCTGTTGCGCCCCCCCCCTTGTGTGTGGGGGGGGCGCAACTTCCAACAGGATTCATTTGGGGGGGCTCTTGGGAAAAAAGGTTGGGAACCACTGGACTACACTATTGTGCGGGTCACATTAATTACTTTAAATCCTTTTAAGGATTACTCTACTATACTAGGACTATAAATGTAATATCTTATAGTTGTAATCAGCCTGTCTCTGTGACTCAATCGTAATACATCTGATTACATCATGACTGGGAAAGAGTAGGGTCTTCCCCAGGGTGAGCATACCAAAATGTAGCTTAACTTCTTTCAAATTGCCTGTTTAAATAAGCCTACACTAGTGGCATATTTCCCTATAACTCTCCTGTGGATGTGTGGGAGGTGTCAATGTTCAAGTCTGCTGTAAACTGCCAACAGAGGTTTACTACAAACTTTTGTTACTCCAGCCATGCCAACAGAAATGTGTTCCCTGGGAATTCACACACTTGGAGGCCCTGGAACTGTGTCTGTCTAATGTTTTGCTTGGCTGGTTGCGAGTCATCCAATTTTCCCTCTCTAAATCCTCTCCTGGTGGATTGTTTTTTTTCATAAGCTCTTTCTTCAGTTCAGACTTGGACAATGCTGCCTCATTTGAGATAGTTCACGTTTGATGTGCTCCTGTTTCTTTGCCTCTGGGTCTCGGCAGCTGATCGCTAACATGTTGCAGAGCCATCATCTTTTAGGCCATATTTATTTGTCATGATAAGCAGTTGCTAAACTGGTTGTACTGCAGCAGATGCCTGTGAGCCAATTGACAACGCTGTAATATTGAACGCATGATGAAAGATAAACAAGTGCACTTATGGCTTACATACAGTGGTCCAGTAATAAAATATCAATGTTTCTGATTATCTTCAAATTATGTCATTGCCTACACTTAGCTGGAGTTTGTCTAGCTTTGAATTTATGTGCTACAGTTATATGCTGCAACACAGAAGTCATTTAAAAACACAGTTAGACAAGCATACCATTCAGTTTTTCACCTATGAAAGAAATCCATTTACCAACTAAAGCTCCTGGACAAACTATTCCCTAATCCGTGCAACCAAATCATACTTGGCCACCCAATGATCAAATTGATTGTTTCCATATTCCTCCAGCCCTTGAAGCTTCCTCTGGATAATTTGACAGTTAGTCTGTCTTTGTGATTTCCACGCAACACCAACCATCTGGTAGAACATGTGGAAAAAGTTAATTCATGAATTGTAAATGCTAAATGTTGGATGAGTCTTCTAAGACAGTTTATTTACACTTGCCTTCAAACAATCCATCTTTTAGTGTCAATTTGGATATGGAGTTTTTGCTGCTGTGACAACACGACAGCAACGAGAAAGTATTGGACGTCACTATAGAAATACTGAACTATACCTCTGTGTTCCCCCACACGAGCAAAAACTTTCACTGGAATGAGTCATTTTTTCCAGGTTGAGGCAAACAGGGGCAGTGGCCAAAAGGGGAAAAAATAGCGCATATACACATATGGTGCACACAAGCCGAGAGGGCTAAAAGGGCATTAGCTGTTTCCTGTTAGTTAGTTTGGGAATTTAGACAGCTGGGTCCCTGGACATGGCAGGTGATTGCTCTGATGAAAGAAGCAAAACACGGAAACAAATTAAAGTTGAGAACTATTTGGCTCTACCAGTCTCAATAACAGTCTGAAGAATGATTGCCCAAAAAACATGTTGAAATATTGATACTGCTTGTTGCTCAATTCAAAGCTGAGGTTAGCTTTTGGATGCATGACACACCACAGAGGCTGGAACATGGTTTAGGTTTTGCTTACGTGGCCCCTACATAGCCTACTGAGGGAATTTACAAGGAATTAATTGTTTACTTTACGTGAGTCATCTTCTTAAGCAGCTGGGCTTTACTGACCTGACTGCAGTTTAACCAGTTAGAAACTACTCTTCCAATATTCACCTTAGATTTTCCATGAAGTAGCATTACAGATTAGTTATTTTAAGTGGTTAATCAAATCCCTATATAACAATTATCTAATTTAAGTTACAATCTTTGGCTCAAATGCATTACTTGTACTACTCGTATTTTAGCAGGCTGGCATATCACACACTCACAGTTGTATCCTTGATACCTTCTGCCTAATTTGATACCTTTTATCCTTTTAATTCTGTATTAAGTAATTGCTTTGATTAAAAACATTAGAATTTGTGAAGAGATTGTGTGGGCTTGAGTGACTCCTTGAATGAATACATTTCCATCAAAAGCACTCCCACAGGAGGGAAGGAGCTACAGCCAGAGCTCTACCTGGCACTCCTTCTCCATCGACCCTCTTTCTACACTCTCTACATCCCTCATCCGAAAAACCCTGGAAAACATAAACATCCTTCCCTGCCTGTGACGTTAGACAAGGATCTGTGCAGGCTGGCTGGATTACGGAGAATGGGGTGCCTCAGTCCACGTGGTGCGGAGGGTAAACATGGAGATCTGACGGTAGAGGAATGAGAGAGACCCTCTGCTCCGACCCTCCACCTGCATCTCATCTCCACACACGACCAGATGGCTGCTATAAACTCACACACTCTCCAATACACTCTCTAATGCAGTCTGAATTCTTTTTTTTTCATTCTCTGTATGAAGGTAGATATGGTGCAAAATGCGAGAGTGTGTAAAACCTGAGCACTTGCAGAAATAAATCTGAGTTTGTGTGCATACATTTACACTTGTATAAAAATATCCACGTAACTGTGAACCAAATTTACACTTGTATAAAATATCCACGTTAACGGTGAACCAAATTTGAAGTCACAGAAGAAAAAAAAAAGTTATGTAGCTTGTAGAAAAAAAATGAACTTAGTGATGAAATGTTCACTTGCAGAATAATACATATTTTTTAAATATATTTTCCATTACAACTGCAACTTGGTTATTACAACCTCTCAAATCAGTCATTACAACTTGACGAATCTGCTCTGTGGCAGTATAAATCGACGAATCTGCGTCTTGACTTTTGCTACACTTCTTGCGATAAATGTGTTGCAAAAGTAATTTTCACCTGTATATGTGGGGGGAGGGAGGGGGGTTGGAGCAAAGGGGCGGAGCTATCAGAAGGACGAGGCTGGGTGACTGGAGACTGCGGGGCTAACGGTTCGTGTCGCTACCAGTCCGCTGACATGGCGCGAGAGAATGGAAAATATATTTAAAAAATATGTATTTTTCTGCAAGTGAACATTTCATCACTAAGTTCATTTTTTTTCTACAAGCTACAAAACTTCTTTTTTTTCTTCTGTGACTTCAAATTTGGTTCACAGTTACGTGGATATTTTATACAAGTGTAAATTTGGTTCACAGTTACGTGGATATTTGTATACAAGTGTAAATGTATGCACACAAACTCAGATTTATTTCTGCAAGTGCTCACATCAGGTTTTACACGCTCTCACATTTTGCACCATATATAGGCCTACCTTCATACTCTGGCTGCGTTTCACTTCGGTTAAATGGATTCCTTGCATCCCTCACTTGTCGTTTCCCTGCGACTAGTCCCTCCCACCAGGGAAGCAGACGCAAGGGCCCCAGAGGCTTCTCAGTACTCAAATTTCCTCTCCTCGACTCCTCGGTCCTCCGGTGGTGACCCGGAAATGAATTTCAGCGCGCCATTTGAAGGACATCTCATTTCTCTAAATGCACACCGAGGACCGAGGATCGAGCATCGAGGAGGCTCTCTGGAGGAGCTCTAACCGAGGATACACTGATGGGCTGCTTCTCAGGTCGACTATTTTCATTTCCTCGCTCCTCGGTCCTTGGTCTCACCGGAAGTTGATTTGCCTGCGCCATCTTGAGTACCGTCCCATGGCTCTTATTTCTGCCGGAGGACCGAGGATCGAGGAGCGAGCAGC